GATGGCCAGCACAGGGGACACAGGTGTTGGGGTGGTGGCAAACTGGTGTCAGGTGGTGTCGGGGTGGCGGTGGCAGAGCAGGGGTGGCAGGTGGTGTGCGGCAGGGCCATGCTGCAGGAGCTGCACCGCGCCTGCGAGGACGCTGCCCGCGGTGGGCACATCCCGGGGGGCCCCACGCTGGCCTGGGCCCACGACTACGCGGCGGCACTGAGCTCGGAGCAGAGCTGCCTCAACGAGTGGCTGGCCATGGCTGACCTTGAGTCCGTGCGCCCCGCATCGCCCCCACCCCTGCGGTAAGAACCGCCCCTTGCCCCGCCCCTGCCCTGCCCCACAGCCTGGGTAGGGCTGGGGCTTGTGGTATAAGGGTGGGGCATTGGGTGGGGCTGTGAGGGCAGGGTATTGGGTGAGGCTGTGAGGGCGGGGCTTGTGCTAAGGTGTGGGATCTGCATTCAGCATGTGGCTTGTGGGACAGGGCTTGTCTGGATGGGGTGGGGCTTAAAGGGATGGGGTGGGGCTTAAAGGTATGGGGAGGGGTTTAAAGGAAATAGGGTAGGGCTTAAAGAAATAAGTGGGGCTTAAAGGAAATGGGGTGGGGCTTGAAGTAATGGGGTGGGGCTTAAAAAGAGTGGGTAGAGCTTTCAGTCTTTAAGTTTCCAGCTTAAAGAAAATGGGTAATGGAGAGGTGGGACTTGCATTTAGGGGAAGGGCCTGAGCACGGGGAGGCGGGGTCTGTGCAGGGCATGGTCTGGGTGGGGTGGGTGGGCGGTGGCGGCAGTGACACCCGTGACAAGGTGATGCGGGCGCCAGGCCAGCGGCGACGGAGCTGTCAGAGCAGGCGGTGCGGGCACTGCTGCGGGACGTGATGGCCGCTGCTGACCTGGAGAACGTCACCTCCAAGGAGGTGGGTGGCAGCAGGTGGGGGGGGACAGGGAGGGCCAGGCACGGCCATCCTTCACCCCTGGCGGTGCGCAGGTGCGGGAGGAGCTGGAGCGGCGCACAGGGCACAGCCTGGCCCAGCACAAGGACTTCATTGACAACGAGATGCTGCTGGTGCTGGCACAGATGGACCGGCCCTCACGCGTCTTCCCACACCTCTACCTGGTGGGCAGTGGGGTGGGAAGGGTGGGCAGGGTGGGCAGGGGTGTCCCCACCCCTCACCGCTGTCACTGCACAGGGTTCTGAGTGGAACGCGGCCAACCTGGAGGAGCTGCAGCAGAACAAGTGAGTGTGGGATGGCACGAGGGCATCTGGTGCCATCATGGTGGGGTGGTCATGGGGTCATCTAGGGTGTCACTGGTGTGGCATGGGGTCTTTGTGGACATGGGGGCATCTGGGGTGTCATGGGTGGGTATGGGGCCATCTAGGGTGGCACAGCAGGGTGGACATGAGGGCATGGGACCTGGGGTGGCATGCTGGGGTGGGCATGAGGTCATCTGATGTGACATGGTGAGGTTGCACAGGGTCATCATGGTGTCATGGTGGGGTGGGTATGGGGTTATCTGGGGTGGCACCATGGGGTGGGCATGAGGTCATATGGTGAGGTGGCACAGGGTCATCATGGTGTCGTAGTGGGGTGGGTATGGGGTTATCTGGGGTGGCACAGTGGGGTGGGCGTGGTGTCAATATGGGATGGTGTGGCATGGGGTCAGCTGGAGTGTCATGGTTGCATGGTATGGGATCCTATCTAAGTTGGGTGTGGGGTCATCTTAGCATGCCATTGGGGTGGGCATGGGGGTATCTGGGGTGGCACAGTGGGTACGGGGTCATCTGGAATGTCATGGATGTGTATGGGGTCATCTGGAGCGACATGGTAGTGTGGCATGGGATCATCTGGCATGGGATCATGGTGGGGCAGGTATGAGGTCATCATGGGACACCCGTTGGGGTGTCACCCTTGTCCCCACAGGGTCACTCACATCCTGAACGTGGCACGGGAGATTGACAACTTCTTCCCAGCGCTGTTCACATACATGAATGTGCGGGTGTATGACGAGGAGGCGGCCCAGCTCCTGCCCCACTGGAATGACACCTTTCTCTTCCTCTCCCACGTCCGGTCAGTGGGGCCAGGGCAGCCCCGGGGCATGGGGGGGGATGCCGGGGGGACATTGGGGGCACGGAGGGCAGCGGCTGGAGCTGGGGGCAGAGGGAGGAGTCCCCTGCCCTCAGGGGAGGAGTCTTGATGAATGAGGTGCTGGGGTGCACTGGGGACACTGGGAGCACTGGAAAGCTCTGGGGACTTGGGTCTCTGCAGATATAGTGAGCCCTGCAGGACAAGGGGAGCCCTGGGGACATGGGGTGCATGGGGTTCCTGGGGACGCTGGGATGGCTAGGGACACGTGGAGAACTGGGATGTGGGATCCCCAGGGGACACTGGGGTGGCTCAGAACGCCAGGGTGGTTGGGGACATGGGGAGGCTTGGGGACAGAGAGCCCTGGGGCATGGGGTCCCCAGGGACACTGGG